CTTTCTGAAAGGGCAAGTAACCGATCCGCAACTTCTAATTCTTCTGTAAAAATACTTTGCCTCAGCTCTTCGTAGGGAAGTTCTTCAATAAATCGTTTGAATTCATTGCGCAAAATGCATGTAAAATCATCCGCCATGATGGAGGACTAAAAAGAGACTGCGAACCAACCCTTTGCCAAGCGACCGCCCCTGCACCTTTCAGGATTGCATGACAAGTTTTATATAATCGTGAAAAGTTTTATATTTTTCAACAAGTTTTATATATTTTGTAACAAGTTTTAATTGTGCACTATAACCTTAATACTAAAATTAAGAAGTTTTATTCATAAAGCAAAATGTTTTATATATTTAATGTAAAGGTTTACATATGGTAAGAAGTATTTTTGATACAAACGGTATTCCATAGATACTCACCTGGGCTTTGTGTAGCCAACATAGCTCCAACTGACACAGATGTCACCAAAACGATACTTATTAAATCTCCACGGAAACCAAGCCAGCGGTTTGATGTCAGTAGCATTATCAAGGCTGATGTGTTTTTGTGTTGGTAGCTATAAAAAAAATTGTCGCAGAAAAAAAATGTGTTTGCCTCTGCTTTCTCTTGTTGCCAGTAGTTTAGAGGCAAGGTGTGTTCAATAGAAACATATCCGCGTGCGGGTCTACAGTTAGATGTTCATCATACTGTAGGGAAACTATAACCATTTCATGTATGTCAGGAACAATTATTTTAACTTGTCAACATGCAAACCGGAATGAAAATATATGAATTGAACCTACCCACATTCGTCAGAATGTCACACCGATCGCTCCAATAAACTTTAAGTGACTTACTCGAAAAATCTATGCAGGAAAGCATCTTCCATCTTTGATGAGCGAATTACTTCACATCCTACTACGGTATCGGCAATGAGGGAATAAACAGGGCTACAAGTCACTGCCTCGAGCCTCCTGATTTCCCGAGAAGATTTCAAATAATACTTTGCAAGGTAGATAAACAACATTGTCAGTGGAACACAAGAGATAAATAACCACACGTTTACTACAGCAGACAGGATGGTGGCACTGAAAAAGTATAAACAACAAGCACTGCAGTGAGAGATTGTGGAGGAAGCATGATGTCCATACTACCAATGTCTTTAGAGAAGCGATTTAAGATACGACCAACCGGGTTTGTGTCAAAGAAGATGACTGGTGCTTCAATAACTGCTTTAGTCATCTTGTTATGAAGATTTTCTGATGCCTTTAAAGCTGTCAGATAAAAGCAAAATGAGGATACAACTGTAAACACCAAGGACAATGTGACAATGGATCCATACACTAGGAGCGTGGTATAGTCCTTCTGTTTTTCTTTTGGCATGTCGATCATTCGTGAAACCCACCAATACGGAGCGATCCATAAAACTGAAACAACAACATAGAAACAAATTATTTATTTGATTCAACGGTGTCTAGTTATTCTTGGTTTACGAGAAGTGGTTTACTATAAAGGTAATTAATTAATTAATTAATTATCTTATAATAAAAATAGAACTGAGTGGAGTACAATTCTGCCTGTAATTGTACCACAACAAAATCGGACGACCTCGTAGCACGAGTCTGATTTGTATAATTACGAGCATGCTTACAGACCGAATTGGACGACAAAAAGTTCTCTTACCAGTGCATCATAACAAAAACAAAATCAAAAAGCAGCACAACATATTGCTAGCGTTTTTCATTCTAGACGTGAAAACAAACAAAGAAACAAATCAAAAACAGGAAGTCCCATCGAAGTCCTATTACAGCGCCCAAGGCGCATGACGATTACTGTAATATTACGCTGTCATGTTCATACCTTGGGCGAAAGCGAAGAAGCAGGCAAGGCTAAAAATAAGACCAGTCGAAAGAGAGGCTCTAAAGTATTTCCAATACAATCGCCATTTTACAGTCCCAACCATTCGATCCTCTTCCTCTTCTTTTAGATCCACTCTCTCTCCAAGTTTATGGACAATATTGACGCTCTTAACAGCTTCATCTTCACCAAAAACGTTTGCATGACCATCTATGTCAGTCTCTTGACTTCTTTGAGAAACAATAGACAAATTTCTCATCCTTTCTTTCTCCATGTGACCAAAGGTACCTTGGTACTCTACGGAACCATTGTGAAGTACTACAACGTTGTCTGTATGTTGGAGGAACTGT